AAAAAAATAATGTGATGCTATTTAGGGAAAGTCATTATGTTTTAGTGCTAATCATTATTTTAGATTATTTTAGTGCTTATAAATTAATTAACTAATAATGTGTTTTTCAAAATAGTATATGCATCCATAAGAGTCGCTGCAATTATAAAAGTTTCAGTTAATGTTTCTTCTTCTATGATCCCGGCCTAGGACGAAGATTACACTACCTTGAAAAGGAAGGAAAGGAGTGATCTGCGTGAGCTTGGACATGTTTATCATAAGTACAAAAACCACATCGCCAAGCATGTCGGAGATTCCAACATTAATAATAGGTTAACAGCTATTATATCCCTACTCGATCATAAAACTATCCTCTGAAGTGTTTCTTGAAAAAATCAAATCTATCATATTAGATCGTTTGGTTTTCTAAACTTTTTTTTAATTGTATTTTTGTGTTCTGAAAGAGAGAAGTTGACCAAAGCACAAACCATTGCTTCAGTACTGTTTGAAGTATTGAATACAGTGTCCACTGCTGCAGGATTTCAGGCAATGTTATTGCACCTTTTTCTCTTTGTTTCAAGTATATATTGTTTCCTTCTAAAGCAAAAAAGTGTCAGTCAAGTAAACAAATCCTTTTTTGTCTGTGAATTCTGTTTTTGTAAATAGGCCATCGCGGACAGTGAGAGCATAGATGCTTCATCTGAATTATATGTGCCGTATAACATCCTCCCTCTTGATCAAGGAGGTGCTCATCACCCAATCATGCAACTCCAAGAGGTGTGTTTTTGTCAGACTGTTTATGATAATGACTTTCCATGTGGTTGCACTAGCTAAGTAAAAGAAGCTTATTGACATTGAAATTTACTTCAGCCTCTATGTAGAAAGGCTTGTTTTTGCTGTATTGTTGGTTTTGAATACCTGAAAATCTTCTGCAGATTAAAGATGCTCTTGCCGCAGTCTGTAATATTCGTGGTTTGCCCTTCCTTGAAGAATGCAGACGGCGAATGGCTTACATGGATTTGTTTGATTGGCTCCAGTTTTGGTTTGGATTTCAAGTACTTCTATGAGACTAATCACCCCTCCCCCTCCCCGAAGAAATATTCTCTCTATCCTAAAATAAGACCCCGCTTTCTATTCTGTCCGTCTCAAAATAAGGTTCATGTTTTGTTTCAAGGAAAGAATTGAACTGTGTGGGTTATATTATTTCTCTTTCTCTCCATAAATCTCGACAACACAATTTCAGTTTCTTATCGAATGTGCTGAGTCAAGCCTAGAACTTTATTTTAGGACGGAGGTAGTTTAACTTTAAAAAGAGAATGAAGCTTTGCTCATCTATATGCAATATTTTTTTAAAAAAACCATATTGAGAAGACTCGTTAAATTATTGTAAGCACCAGTTATTTTGTGTCATATTTATGTTTTCCAATATAAAATTATTATTTTTTGTGTCAGAAAGGAAACGTTAACAACCAGAGAGAACATTTGATACTGCTTATTGCTAACATCCATATCAGGCAAGCTCATGAGCAAACGTTAACTTCAAAGGTATCAACTGCGTTGCTCATTGTTTGCAAAAAAATTGATTATATTATTCATATTTAATTCTATTTTGTTTTTTCTTATATTTGTATAGGTAGTTGATTTTGCTGTTGATGAGCTCATGAAGAAGTTCTTTAAAAATTATTCAGATTGGTGCAAGTTTGTGGACAGAAAAAGCAACATTAGGTAATTTTGCTGTATTGTATTTGGACTTTGATCATTGCAACATCACTCCCCACCACAGCCATCACCCCACTCCCCCCCCACCCCCGCCCCTCCCTGCCCAAAAAAGAGGAAAACATGCTTTTTAGAATTTAGGTTAGAGACGAAAACACAATATCCATGTTGGGATGGCGCGTACCTTACCCGCATTAGTATGATATTGTCTTATTTGGTCCAAGTCCTCACAGATTTGCTTTTGGTCACCTACCAAAAAGCCTCATACTAATGGAGTTGGGTTCAACTTCTATATTTTTGTACTTTGTTTCTTTTTCTTCCGATGTGGGTCCACGACTAAAAGAGATAAAGTTGGATATGAGCTAGGACTATATTATAAACATAGAAAACCATAGGCTAAAACCGCTCGTCACGCATAATATAGGGACCGAATATGCAACTAACCGTAGATATTAAGGAGTCTTTCATGTGACCCAATTTAAAGGTCTTGATTGCTTTTTACACGATTTTTAAGAAATAGCCAAATGATATGTTTCAATTTGTAAATATGACCTCCAATACGGAGTATTATTTTCTCTTGTAGATGGAGCTAAAAGAATCATTTTGGACAATCTTTTAGCTTCGGGTAAATAATAGACTAAATAAAAATGACACATAAAATTATTTTGCTTCTTACTTTCTATGAAGTGTTGTAGTAAGTTCATTAATGCATCACGGGTCTAACCAAAACAACTTTTATAGAGGTAAGGTTGCGTACATCTTGAGCCACGGATTAGACTTGTTTGTTGTTGTTGTTGTTTGTTGTGTATGAACTATGTACCAATCATTAAAAGCTGTAAAAATGAGTCCACACGTCAAATAGTAAAAGTTTAAATTGGAAAATGTTAGTACTGTTCTATATTCAAAAGTGAACATATTTGTGACAAAAACAACACATGAAAGTGAGACTTCTAAAATGGGATACTGGTAGTAAGGTATACAGAGTATTATGTAAATGTAATTCTTCTCAATCATGATTTGGTCACAGTTGGCAACTCTTATTTCATTATTATGCAGAATGCCACACTTGAAACAGGAGGCCCAGCAGTACAAGCTTTTGTATATAGGGCTTTATCTTCTAATATGGGGAGAGGCTGCTAATTTACGGCTGATGCCAGAGTGCCTATGTTACATATTTCATCACGTAAGTTAGGATCCTTGTGCTATTTTTCTTTGTTTTTCATTTCTAGTTCTTCGTCAAGTCAAAAGAATTGTGCATGTTTGATCTCAATTACTTCATACAGAGTACGGAGTATTTCAAATAATGCATAGGTGCTCTTACTCAGCCCCTTAAATTTGGTTGCTTGAGGACAAGGCAAATTTTGAAGGAAGGGATAATTATAGAGTGCCACCTATGCTGTTAATTTATTTTGTTAATATTTATAAAAGAGACAAATCAAATGTTTTATTTTATATATGTTAGTTATTAAGTAGTAAATAATGTGTGAGTGGACCTAAATTCTAGGAGGAGTTGCTAAATAATGTGGTAGTGTGCCTAAAGTCTAGGAATAGTTACTACATAATGTGGTAGTTGGACTAAATTCTAGGGATTGGTAGTTATCTCGCTTTAATAAATATTGAGGCTCATTATTTGTACAAGTTACCCAGAAAGTAATTCAATATTTATTACTGGAGATTCTTCTTGGCTTTATTACTTATATGAGTTTAAGATTATTGCTCATATTTTGATAAAGATTTTCATTCATCTTTATCATTTTCTGGAGTTAGATCATGATTTCATATTTTGATAAAGATTATCCTTCATTTATTTTCCCCACCAGTCTTGAGTTCTATCAGCCAGAGACAGTTAAGAAACCTTGTGAGTGTGAGACTTATAGGGGAGATGGTTCTTAAATGGGGGAAAATGTCATGTGGAAATATATAGCCGGCCCCACCTAAAGGGCTTAGCTTGGATTGGTTTTATCTTGGCAATTTATGCAAGAACTGAATGTTTCATAGACGCTAAACAGTGAATATAACTCAGACTATTATATGGCATAGTATTATATGAATTTTTAATGCTGAACGGTGATTTTGACTATGCATGTGTTATGTAAATACTAAATGTATATTGGTTTGAATGTGTTATCTATGCATTAGATGGCCTATGAATTGCACAGCATGTTGGTTGGTGCTGTAAGCTTGAAAACTGGAGAAAAGGTTATGCCAGCTTACGGAGGAGGATATGAGTCCTTTCTTAAAAATGTAGTTTCACCAATTTATGAAGTAATGAAAGAGGTACCGGTGAAGTTCAGATTACAACTCATCTTACTATCTTAGAAAAAGGTGGTGTAACCCACTTTTTTGGTTAATACGAAAGGATAGCAGTCCACTTTTCTGTCTAACCGGCCTGGTTTCTTCCTTAATGTCAAATGCTCAAGGAAGCTATGAAGAACAGAAATGGTGCAACAAATCATTCAACCTGGAGAAACTATGATGATCTCAATGAGTTTTTCTGGTAAACTTTCAGTATATGTTTAGTTTCATGTTACAACTCTGATGTGTGGTTAGTTCAGAGGTACTTATCGCATACATTTCAGGTCCACATCTTGTTTCCAAATAGGCTGGCCCATGCGCCTCGACCATAATTTCTTTTGTGTAAAATCTGCACCGCATCGGAGAGTGAAAAAGGTTCGGATTCCAGCTGTAAATGTTGATTCTGACAAAAAAGATGAAGATAATGAAGATGAAGGAATGGGGGTAATATATTCCATATATATAATCTTGGTATCAAATAAATATTGCATCTATGGTTTTGTTCTTGTTAGAAGAATACTAAAGCTAACTATTTTTTTTAATTCTGGAGTAGATTGATAGTGCATAGCAGGTGGGTATATCATGTTGTGTTCTTGAAGTATTGAGCTGACTCTAGTGTTTCTTATCAATCACTCTTTAAAATTTTAGTTACACAAACAAGATACATTGGCTTCATACTATAAGACCATCTAAACAAGTTTCCTCCTATAAACACATAAAACTCCATACAAGATCACTTGGTGAACCAGTAAATCAGCATCCGAGAATGCGTTGACACACATATTCCCATAATAAGACTTATTATAACATAATTTTGTTTCTTCACTTCTGCTTCCCTCATAAATGGGTTTTCCCTTCTGTAGTTTTATACAAAGATACTCAAAACCGTTTTTGTGGTGATCTCCAGTTGAAAGCACTTCTCCATTTCCTTGTTTTTACCAATCCCTTCTGTTTAAAACAACTCTAAGTAAGTAAAACCGTCTAAAAATCTTCGAAACTATCCAATACCTCGAAAGAAGAGGAAAGTGAAGTCCATACAACACAAAGGTTAACTAAAATCAGTATACTTTCCATTGTTTTAATGATTGTGAACAAGCGAAACAAGAAAAAATTATTACTCTTTTAGGCTATGGTAATTATGGCATGCCATGATTTAGAGTCTCTTCTACAAGTTTTTGATGCTACAATACTCGAGGATGTTATGAGTATCTTCATCACATCAGCTGTCCTTAAACTAGTACATGGTATGATTTCTCTAAGTAGAAGACTCGCAATGTATAAGATTAAATTCTTAAGTAATACAAATAGGGAATTAAATGGGACACTAAGGATCTATCTTAGCTTTCAAAATAAAAACAGTTCTTATGAGAAAGCACTTTAAGCAAACGTGTTTAAAGATTACTCTAAAAATACTACTAAAATAGGTGAATGAACACCAACAGTAATACCAAATGGCACTGAAGTTCCTAAGCTCATGCCTTAAGTTTTAGATGGTTTATAGGCAGCATCCTGCTTTTCGTGCTAATATTAGAGCTGAGAAACTGATCTTTTTTGCTTGAAAAGTTTAGAGATTTATAGTCATGACCTTGTAAGATTTACCTTTACATTTGCTCTCCTTGACTCTTTCTTAGTCTAAACACTTCCACTTTTTATTTTAATCACTTTTAATCTTTATGTAAGCATTTTTATTGACAGTCTTTACATGGAAGAACTTAAGATGTACAAATTCCTTGCAGCTATTCTGGACACTGTTTTTACATGGAAAGCAAGAAACACATTGAACGCTGCTCAAACCATCAAATGTCTACTGAAGGTGGTTGTTGCTGTGATATGGACCGTCATTCTTCCTATATTTTATGCAAATTCTCGACAAAAATATACTTGTTACTCAGCAGATGGTGGAAGCTGGCTTGGAGAATGGTGTTATTCCTCCTATATGGTTGCAGTTGCATTGTATTTGATGACTAATGCTGTTGACATGATTCTGTTTCTTGTGCCTGTGCTTGGGAAATACATCGAGACCTCCAATTCCCGTGTATGCATTATTTTATCTTGGTGGACACAGGTAAAAATCTGTACTCTGCTCCATAGCTTGCCTGACAGTATTGTCCGACCACATTATCATAATTAAGTTCTTTTGTAACTATCTTTGCACTGCATATTGGATCAATCTGATATAATGAAATTTATCCAAAGCAGTGAAGTCAGTAGTCTTTGACTGTTAGGCAATGTTTGAATTTTTTTCATAGCGGGAAAGGACAATACTAGGGGAAAATAATAAAGGAAAATAAATTTGACTTTCCTCCCACTTTTTTCTTCCTCTTGTTTGGAATGATGTAAAACAAGGAGAGAATGGAAGAAAAGAAAAATAAGAATTCTAGTCAGTTTTCTATCAAAATTGGAGAGATTGGGGGTAACATTACTTTCCTTTCTCCCATTTTCCACTTAAATCCAAACAAGGTAAAATAGTTATTTTACAATTTCCACTCTTACTTTTCTTCCTCTCCATATTTTCTTTCCATCCAAACAAGGTGTTAGGCAGGCCTTTCATTAGCAGTCTCAGACTGTTTTAGTTGACTCAATCCAATAATGGACCCCATTATGCCTACCATATATATTCCCCATGTACAAATTTTCATTACCACTTAACCCGCTTCCGTTTCCATATACCTTGCAGCCTAGACTTTTTGTTGGACGAGGAATGCAAGAAAGCCAACCCTCTCTCCTGAAGTATTTAGTATACTTAACATCGAGCTAGTTTCTTTCTCTAGTATATTTTGAATGTGATTCTAAAGGTATGTTTTGTTGTAGGTATACACTCTTTTGGGTCTTGTTATTGCTAAGCAAACTCACATTTAGCTATATATATGAGGTGAGTAATATCGGATCTTGTTTGAAAGTCTCTAGTTATATACATCACATTCTTTGATTCATTGAATCCCAATAGCCACTTTATGATAAGACACATGTCGCTCACGGTTCATATATGGGAGTGTGTTTTTGAAGTGATGGTTTCAATATTTAGGGTGTGTTTGGTTGGGGGAAAATATTTTCCGAGAAAAATATTTTCCAAGGAAAAAGGATTTCCAAG